AAGGAAGTCAAAGACTGGGATGGTCAGAGCTCAGCAGAGCTAGAACACAAGGTTTGAAGGTACTGATACAATGCATGAACCTTGCTGCTGAAATCCCTCCTCCTGTCTCAAAGACAGGGACTGTGCAAAATGATGGGACAAGATTATGGATGCACACGTGCTTCCTGACTGTGATGTGGATTCAGTCAGGTGAGCATGAGTGAATTATGGATGCCCTTTTGATTAGTTTTCAACGATCTTTTAATGACATTGAGACGGTGTGAAGTTACAGTGTATTGATTTTCTTCTGCCCATGCAGTAATTTGTAGTGGTGGAGATTTATTTTCCACTTCATGTTTTCCATGAAGCTGGTAGGCAGCGAGGCCAGTGGCAGATGGAAGCTGGTCTCCCATTCCTATGGATGGCACTGAGGATCACTGGGTGCTGGGGGACTCCATGCTTAGGGAGAACAGAGTTTGCATGGGGGATTTCTGTGGTTTCATTTCCACCACTGTCTGCTAGGGCAGAGCTGCTGCAGTTGCAAACCAGGGAACACTTGCCCTGCTATCTCCTGGGCAAGGGGACCTGTCCTGGCAAGTATTTGCCTCAAGTGAGCACTGTTTCTATGAAGTTATTTGACAGTTGGTGGGGTTTTTGCACTTTGTTTGGTTTTGGTGGGGTTTTTTGTTGTTTTTAGTTTTGGGGTTTTGTTTCAGGTTTTTGTTTGGTTTTTTTGCTTGGTTTTGGAGGTTTTGTTTGTTTGTTTGTTGGGATTTTTGTTTTGTTTGTGTGTGTATGGCTTGGGTTTTTTTTTTCTTTTAATAAATTTTGCTCACTTTGGGACTATCAGCCCCAGCCCCACAGTTATTCTGATCCTGAACAGGAGCTAGAACAGACTTCCATCCAGACCTGATCACTGCAGAGAAAACATTTTGAGGCAACAGGTTAGGGTTAGGCTCATCAGCAGTCTGGGGAAGGAGGAGCTGCCTGTCATAACTAACTTATTTTTCTGCACAGCTTTGAGATTTCATGGACATCTCCACCACTCTTCCATCAGCAGATTTAAAGAGAAGACACTGCTTTCAGTCTTCCCAACATGATTCTTGTGTGCCCTTCTGCCTGACCTGTTTTTGTGCAGTTCATGCAATGATCTGAAAGCCGGAAGGTGACATTGTTATCAGTTTGACCACCTGCAGATCACAGACCATAACTTCAAGTAAAATTAGGCCATAGATTTTAAAAAATAAAGATCAAAACTGCAACTCTGACTTAAGGCCAATATGAGAGAGCTTCATGCTTGACTAGGCTGTTCTGCCTTGTTCTTACTAGTTTTTCTGACTTGTTGGGCTTCACTTTGTGTTAGTTTAAGCCACAGCTTAGATTCCTTCTTTTCACTCTAAATGATAAACTAGAAGCCTTGAAGTACTGCAAAAATGTTACTTAATGAAATAGAAGAAGGATAGAAAGAGAAGGGCAACAAAATTCAGCATCAGTGCTTACACTGAAACTGAGATCCCACTTCCTTCTATGGTTATATAGCTTCACCCTCCATGCGCTGGGTCTTGCTATATATAAGACTCCTGGGTCAAGAGGTCCTCAAGCTTCAAATCTTTCATCCCAGGAAATGTTCCCTGTGGTTCTGCTCTTCAGCACCTTTCTCAAAGCATGCCCTACTAAAGTAGGACAAGACATTTTAATGAGTTTCACTCACACTGTAGACAGTGTTGCTTTCTGTTCCTGGTTCCTAGAGAGCCCCTGACTATTTTTTCACGTACCAAATCTCTCTTCCTCTGTCACTGAAGCTCGTGAGCAGCTGAGCTCATGAGCAGTTGATTTTGCTCCTGAAGTCTTTTGCACAGTAACTGATTTTCTGTTTGCACTTTTCCTTCTTGTAAACATGATCTAGATGTTCCAGCTGAATGTTCATGTTGCTCTGTGCATTTGTGTGAGGTTTACCAACCACTCCTGTGCTTTGTCATTCACAAGAATCCAGATAAATCTATGAAAAAGCCAAGATAAAGGCATAATATATTGACCAACAGATATAATCCCTTCCTGGTTTTCTGATTTTAGATATAAACTCTTTGACTGAAGCAGTTTCCTGTTTGACGAGGGCCAGCACAGCCTACTGGAGATGCTCACCAGCAGTTCCTCTGCACACTCCTGGCAGACCCTGTTACAGCTCCTGGCTGCAGCTTGGCAGAAGCACTTGCTTTTGATTACAGAGATCTCCAGTGTCAGCCAAGGAGGTGGATATCAAACCTGTGCATGCTGGTTCCTGCCAGCAACACATCATAAATAATAGTAATGGAGTGTAATTGCTCATTAAGCCAAATCATAGCCTGGAGCCCTCCATCTGGCCAAACTCCCTTCGACATCAGCAGGAGCTTTGCCAGCAGGTGTGCAATAGGATTGGGGTCCCAAGCAGTGGTACTGCCAACCACGTACAGTAGCACCACTACTGGGTTCTGATTCAGAGCCCCTTGAAACTGCTGTGTCTCTTTGGACTGATCTAGAAGGATTTAGCTAACTCCCCTTGTGTTTCACTGCTTCTCAGCCAGTACGGCTACATCTGTGCAACAGTTATCCCAGATGGAGTATGGAGGAGGAGAATTCCTGACACTGAGCTATGAGATTTTAATTTTAGAGAGGAGATGGAAACTCTTTCCTGTTGGGTCTCAAATGGTCGTTTGTATGGGTGTAATTTGAGGCTTGAAAATGTCCCAGAAGCCTGCAACTGAAAACCCCCAACATGTAATTGATATTGAAAAGTGTTGTGTCCCTGGTGCAAGGGCTATAAAAGGCATACTTGGTGTGCCTGCCTATCAGTCACCTATTGCTATTTGACAGTGGTACAACCCTTTGCAAGAGAAAATAATTTACTGCCTTCCCCCATGAAAATTATTTACCATTCCCATTTCGGTTTGAACATTTACTGTTGTGGTTCAAAGCTGTGATGAATTGGTTAACTATAAATTTTCTTTCCTCTACCATTCTCCTCCCACCTCTTCCTAATGCAACACTGGGATGAAGGTTAAGGCATAGGGTGTTATCTGAAGGAAATGCTCCACTCTCAGTGCCCCATCCATCCTTGCTAATGCTTATAGCTCCCCTGTGGTATTGGGAAGTGTAATCGCTATTGTACTGAGGTAGAACAGGAGCTGGAGAGAGATAAATGGCCTAGTTATCAAAACTTCCTAGCCTCCCACAGCCCTCCTTGGGAATACAGCTATAAATGACATTCAAATGATGCTGATAGATGTGAGCTGAGCAGGCAGCAGAACGTGTGCGGTCCCGGTGGTGCGCCTGGGCCAGCCCCTCCTCGCTGATAATGTCATGGAGATCTCAGCTATCCCGACACTGGCTGCAGACACTTGGGGGGTTGTGCATGAGATACGCTGCTGTCTGCTCTCAGCTGCTTGGAGACAAATCCCATGAGGTTGCAAAGGCTCAAAATTGAACGGTGACTGAAACATGGTAATGCTGGAGCTTGCAGAGCTGAAGGCAGAGGTTTTTTTTTTCCTTCTTTGGCACAGATTCTGCTCAAGAGAATCACCTCAGAGGTGAAATATGTAGGGAAAACAGCCCTTTTTCCACCTGGCACTGTGATGACAGAAGTGTCACTTATAAGTGACTTGGGTCCAAAACAGTATGGCCTGTGGGGGGTCCAGAAATCACCTCCAGGAGCTCCCTTTCCATATGCTGTCCTTCCTGGTGTGTGAAACAGGAGGACTGCACATCCCTCAGAAATGGAACAGGAGCAGCTAGAGTAGGTGGCAAATCTGCTTCTCTTATGAGTCTGGAAGAACTCTTGGGTATCTTGGCATCTCTTCAGGAGATACCAGGAAAACTCCCCCATCTGGAGGAGGAGAACCTCCCATGAAAACAAGAAGCAATCTGTAAGGCTTTGCATCTTATTTTATTATTTTAATTTAATAATTTATTTAATTTTATTGTATTTTATTTTATTTTTAGACCTTTTTTTCCTCCTAAGGTGCAGATATGTGAATGCACTGCCCTGCAGATAGCTTTTTACTCAAGAGCACGTCTTGGAGGGGTTGTTTCTAGTGCGTTGTGGCAGAAATCCCAGGGCACCAAGAGTGTAGGGCAAACAAAAGCTTGTCCCTTCCCGTCTTCCTTGCAGCCCAGAAACTGAAAGGAAAAGGGTACAGGGCTGTCAATCACATCCCGTCAGGTTTTAGGTCCGAAGTCAGGACCAGGGTGCGGGTGCACATGGCAAAGCGGAGCGAGGGGAGTTCTTGGGTCCCACCGTTCGGGGCGGACCCCTGGGGTCCTCAGCCGGGCTCGGGACCGGCGCTGCTCTCTCCAGGAGCCATCCGGGAGGGGACAGCGGCAGCATCTCCCGCGAGAGCCCCGTGCAAAAAGGGGCTCCCCGGCGGGGCCGGGGCTGCCCGGCTATGCTGCCCCCGAAGCCCCGCTCCGCGGGCAGAGGCTCCGGCTCGGCTCGGCTCGGCTCGAGCCGCAGCGGCAGCGGCAGCAGCGCCGGCAGCCACCCACCCGCCGCCTCTCCCGGCATCCTTCATCCCCATCCTCCCCTCCTTCCTGCTTCGGCGGTGGAAGCAGCCCCCGCCGGGGGCCGGGGATGCCCTCCTCTCCCCTCCCTCCCCTCCAGCCGCAACGGGGGAGGGGGGCTGTGATGCTGCAGGGGGATCCCCGGGTGTCGAGCGGGGTCTCCCCTTCCGTCGGCTGCCGGGATCTCCCCGCTCGGCGCCGGCGGCCCCAGCGGCGGCTGCGGGGGGCTGTCAGCCGGGGGCTGGGGGGCGCAGGGGGGCAGTCCCGTGGCGGGGGCCGGGACCGGTGCCCCCACACCGCAGATGACTCGACAGCCGGGGCTGGGGAGCGGGGGCGGGCGCCCGGCTATTTGCTGGCTGCATACAATGGGCCACTCCCTAACGTGAGGGCTGGGGGGAGGCAGGAGCTGGGAGGAGGAGGAGGAGGAGGAGGAGGAGGAGGAAGGGAAGGCGCGGGGGGTGGGGTGGGGGAGGAAGGGGCTCGGGCAGCGGGCTGGTAAATAAACTCCGCGATGATTCCCCTCCCTCCCGCCGGCCCCAGGTGCGCGCCGCGCTCCCGCCTGCCCGCCAGCGGGAATGACCTGACGGGGATGTGACCGACTCCCCAGCCCACCGCCGCTTACCCCCCGCTCCCTCCGTATATATATATATACATACATACATAGATGAATATATATATATAAATACATAGAGAAGTCGTTCTGGGGGGAGGGGCGGGGACCTCGGATCATGGCCCTGGGGCTCCCGGGGCTGCCCGCCGCCGCCGCCGATCCGCAGCTCGCCTCCGGGGCCCGACCATGGGGCTGAAGGCTCGGCGCGGCGCCGCGGGCAGTAGCGCGGCCGGCGGGGCGGCGGCAGCGGCGGGGCGGCGAGCGGCGAGCGGCGGCGACCCCGAGCAGGGCTCGCTGGCCCTGGGTGCCGGCGGCGACCGCGACGGGACGCTGCTGCTGGAGGGCGGCGGGAAGGAGGAGGGCGGCAAGCGGAGCCCGCCGGGGCTGGGGCTGCTGGCGAAGACCCCCCTGAGCCGCCCGGTGAAGCGGAACCACGCCAGGTACCGCCGCATCCAAACTTTGATCTACGACGCCCTGGAACGACCCCGCGGCTGGGCGCTGCTCTATCACGCCTTCGTGTGAGTACGCGGTGCTCCCCGGGGGGATGCCGGGGGCTGCCCCGGGGGGATGATGCGCCCGCGGACACCGTTTTGCTTTATCATTCTCGGCGTAAGGCGCTCCAGGGGCTCGCTCCGGCGCCGGGTGTGTGTGGAAGCAAGGGTCTGATACGGGGTGTGCTGCTGAGCGGCTCTATTTCTTTCTTTTCTGTCGTCGGGTTTCCCAAAAAAGAGAAGCTGCTTTTAAGTGTGTGTCCCTGTCTTGGCCGTACCCCCACGTTGCCTTGGAGTGGCATTCCCGAGCCTCTGTGTCTGAGACGCTGGGAAAGGGATGCCAGAAAGACCAAGCTCTGAGCGGTTTTAAGGCTCGAAGTGCTTCAGGGGAACGCGGCCAGTTCAGCTCAGCCCAGAGCACCGCGTGCTGTTACAAACCCCGAGCGAACCGGCTCCTTCAGTAGTTGAAAGTGTCAAATGGAAACCGTCGGGTTTTGGTCCGATAAGCATCACCCCGCAGTGCATGAAACCTGAGCGTTGCAGCGAAGTCAGGCAGAAAGTTACACTGACCACAAGTGAACTGAGAGGAAACAAAACTCGTTTTGCGGCCCGAAGGTGACAAGTCAAGTGAATAACGGCTGGTTTGCACTCCTAAAAAATTCTGTACCTTTAAGTTTTCATAAGAAAAAATAATTCTGGGTACAGCATAGAATGGAGCTGGCAGAGACCAATTAAAATAAATGTGAGGTTTAGTGTTGTGAATGTGTTTGGAAACCCAAGGGATTATCAGTGATCACGGTGGTACTGTTTTTCTTTGGTGCTATTAGGTGTGCACAGCTCTATGTGACAGAGGATTTAAGCAGTGATTTCTGAAACTGGTTTACTTGGCAAAGACAAACAAAGCTCTCTAAGCTGCATGGACTGTAGCCTGGAGCCTGATCGTGGGAAGTCTTAATCATTGGCACAGTCTTTGCACCTGCAAATAAAACACCTTGAGCTCAGGGCTATGATTTTACCTTCAGGCAAATTTTTCATGATGTTGGCAAGGATTTAGCCCTGGGCAAGTATTAAAATGAAACGTTCACTACTGGCGTGCTGCTGTGTGCCACTCACTCATTGCTGCTACCCCCTTTTCAGTGTTTATTTATGAAGTACATCTTGGGACACAGGTCCTGTTTTACAGATTAATTTCTATGAAAATGTGGATACTGGATGCTGTGACACTTTTTCAGTTCTTTCGCTCCTTTGTGCCACAGGAAAACTTGTGCTGGCAGGCAGGGAGCGACAGCTCTTGGAATGTGTTACTCTGGGAAGGCTCTTTGGTCCAGAGCTTGCTGTTCAGATTACGCTCAGTGTTGCATAACCTGCTTCTTGATGGGGAGAGCCATGTCTGGACAGAGGGGCACCCCTTTCATCCTGCCTTGGTCAACCCACACACACTGCACCAGTGAGGTTTTGGCACATGGCAGAGCATCGTGAGCAGTTGGCATTCCTCTGTGGCAGCTGGGTCAAATCTGTGCCCAGGCTTGTGTCTGGATATAGGCAATAGGACAGTGGATGTGTCTGGAGAGGCTCAGGTGAGCTGAGAGGTTCACATTTATTTGCAGTGGTATAAGAATTTCCAAGTTACAATGTTTATTTTCGGTAGCTCTCTATATATGTGGTTGACCTTAAAATCCTTATCCAATATGGCTCACAGAACGGGAAAATAATCAGGATGTTTGGAAGGTTCCATCCTTCTTAGGAGCGGCCTGACACTGTGTGGTCAACTTTGCTTTGGTGACTACTCAGTCCTGCAAAACTGAAATGTGAGTCTGACCTGCTCTCTCAGAAGTCAATAACAGTCTTGTTAAAACCATTGATGCCAAGTTCAGTGTTAATGAAAATGAAACAAAACACTTTTAGAAGTCCTTACCCTTAAAGCAAGTAAAACACACAAGTCTGTCAGCTGAGCACAAACACCCTGTCTCTTCCCAGGACACCCCAGGGGGCTCAGCAGTCCAAGTTGGTCCCACTGGGTTTCTGTTCAGTCTCAGCTCCTTCTGAACTCAGTTGAAGTTCTGGGGTCTTACCTCAGTGTAGGATCAAACCCTACAAAAAGGAATCTGGTGAGAGTGATGGCAGAGTGTGCTGAGATCTTGCTGACAGGCTTCAGAGCTTCTGCCTGCCACTGGAGAATGAAGACGACCTGCTTGAGAGCAGGAGAAGTGCTGTGGGAAGCAGCATCTAAGTTGGTATCCAAAGTCTCTGTTCTTGCTTTCAAATGAATTGTCTTTTAACCTTTTTTCCTTCCCTAACGGAGTCCCTCTGATGTTGGAGGTGTTTCTGTGATAATTTGTAGTGCCATCCCAGCAGTCCCCCAGTGATACTTTTCACACTAGAACAGTTTTCCTTGGGAAGGCAAGAGATTTGCAGTCTTTCCATAAAATTGACAATTTTGATCCTGTGTTACTCTTTAGTAAAAGTCCCATTTATCTTATCTTAGTGGCATGTTACACTTTGTGTCATCTTCTGAGTAATCTTGCAATAAATGCCGTGCACTCGAAACTACTAGTGAGATGGTTGCTCTCATATACAAATAACCAGACAATAAATAGCTGAGGACCAAAAGGGATTGCAGCATGGATGGATGTGATTAAGTCCTTATAGATCCAAGCATTCAGATACAAAGGACTCCAGTGCTGTGTATATTCCAGGGTTTGGGAAGCAGGAAGCTGCTGATGGAAGAGGGTTGCAACTTTCAGGACATGCTGAGGATGCTGTGTGGGGCTCAGGAGGGGCTTTGCCAAGGTCTTTGCAAAAGCTTTGGATGCCAGAACTTTTAAAAGGGTGGTACAGATGGGATCTCATTAAATGATACAGTGATGCACATGTGGCTGCCAAGGGGTCATGATCCCCTGTGTATCTCACTCCTATAATGTGCACATAAATAAGGCTTGGGCAGTGCCTGTTGTAAACTCTTGCTTTAGTTTTAGGTGGTGTTAGATCTACTGAAATTATTCAGTCTACTGACATAATTCAAGGAGAATGCATGAACGTGATCAGGCCAAGCCCTAGGGACAAAGATGCAGGGGAGAAAGGGAAAAGTTCCTGATGGCAACTTTAACATTCAGCTTTCACTGGCAGTGATTTCCAGAAAGTGGCACGAGATATTTTCTTTGTGATTCTTCCTTCTTGTTCTGCAAAAGTGAGTTTGTCCAAGCCTATCCTTGGGGAGTTGTTCCCTAAAGAAGCTGACTCTGTTTCCTTTCCTATCTGAAAATTTATTCTCTGCCAGCTCTACTGGACAGGAGATTTATGTATCACCCATGAAGTTCTGCTTTGCTAGGACACCAGGGTTGATGGACTTCTTGGCAATATGGCAATATCTTAGTGGCATAGTTGGTAAGAGAAATTTGTTTTTCCTAAGAAGAGCTTCACCTCTGTAAGGCTAAACTCCTGCTGAACATTTTCAATAAAATAAAATGAAATAAAGTAAAATAAAATAAATCTCTTTAACCTTTGAGGTATTTCATTTGGAAATATTTCTTGGGGGTTGCAGGTCAGGCTACAATCTATCCCTGCTCTTTCCTGAGCTCGTGTCGCTGTAGGAATAAGTGATGTTCCCATGATGCACTATATTACCCTTTGTGTTAGGCAGCACAAAATATTGTAGGAAACCCCTGCGGTTGTGCCTTGTGGGATGTGTACTTTGGCCAGGGAGACAGACTTGAGACCTGTCCACCTCCACAAACCATCCAAATGCTTTATTTATGCCCTGAAGCATTAATGAATAGAATGAAAAATTGAAAACAAGTAAGATTTTGATTTTTCCAGTTTAATTGTAAGCCCAGACTATTTGGTGGATAATGAACAGAGTCCACAAAGATAACATAACACAGATCAAGTTTGGAATTGCAATTTGTGGAAAATTTTCAACCTGACTTAAAGAAAAGAGAGGCTGAAGGAGAGATATCTAGGATATATTCTCATTTTCATACCAGCTTCTGAGACAGCTGCAGCCTTTCACAGAAAAATAAGACCAGGGAAAGGTTTGGGATTAGATTTTTCTTTTTGGGAAAGTGTGAAATATCAGCTGCACTCTGCTGGTGTAGATCACCGTGGTGTACCTGCTGAAGAGAAGGGGAAACCATGGGGAACATTAGAGAACCCTTCTCTATTTGCCATGTAATCTTCTTTCAGTACTGCTTAATACCTGGAATAAAAAGAGGAGGCATAGTCATGTGTTCCATCAAATTGTCAGCATTTCTGGGAAGCACCAGCGAGCACCTCCTGCATGACTGATCGTAGGTGTGTTGTTTGCAGAGAAGAGTGTCATGGGACTTGGGGAACAGGTTGAAGGTCTGGGGGCTTTCCATTATTTTCTTCCTCTCCTTTTGGGAGATGCTCTGTAAGGTGCTCACCCACCTCCAGCCTGTGTATAACATCTGGGGTGAAATAGGAACAGGTTTGGGGTAAAAAGAAGGACAAATATGAATCCTTCCTTGGCCTGTTTGGCAAGGACTTGTATCTAAGTGAGTCCCTGGAGCAGCAGAGCGAGCCTGGTCCATTAGCGAGTGCCCTTTGCTTATGTGTTTGCCAATCTGAGTTCTGTTTTTAATTATTTATGCTAATTCATCATAATGCACAGATAAATATTCTGCAGTATACTTTGTAAAAAATAATGAAGTCTTAGTCATTGGAGACCTTACCACACACCCCTGCTGTTGCAGCTCCAGGCTTGCGGAGCTGCCCTGGGTTTGTGTGTGGTTTAAGGAGATGAGACTGTGCCTCAGCCACTGGGATCAGCCCACATGACGGGCTGTGGTCACTGGGAGTTTGCTGGGAGGAATGCGAGGGGGCATCAGAGCCTGGGGAAGCCACTGCCTGGGTAACATGCGTGGCTTGTGTGATTCCCAACCATAGCTTTGGAGTCACTTCAACAGCTCGCAGGTGCCCAGTGCTTGTTGAAGCGTCCAAACTGCCTCTGACATTACAGACCTTTGGTGTGAATAGATGTGTTTTCATTTACAGCTTCTTATTTCTGT